CTAGACCTACCCACATAGCTGCAGCCTCGTCCCCTTTGATCAGTGTGTTCCCAGTCACCCCTACCCAGCGCCCTCAGTTCCTGCTAACCCCCACTCTGTTCTTTGCTTCTATGTACTTGACTTTTTAAAAAAATTGATGTATAATTGTCATACCACATTATGTTAGTTTCAGGTTTACAACATACTGATTCGGTGTTTGTATGTATTGTGAAATGATCACCACAAACAGTCTAGTTCACATCCTAGGTAACATTCGTCACTGCACAGTTACAATTCTTTTTTCTTGTGATGAGAACTTTTAAGATCTTTTCTCTTAGGAACTTACAAATATACAATACAGTATTATCAACTATAGTCACTATGCTATTGATTCCCTCCCCTGCCTTATTTATTTTATACTTGGAAGTTGGTACCTTTTTTTTTTATATAAACTTATTTATTTTTGGCTGCGTTGGGTCTTCGTTGCTGCGTGGGGCTTTCTCTAGTCGCGGAGAGCGGGGGCTACTCTTCGTTGCGGTGCGCGGGCTTCTCATTGCGGTGGCTTCTCTTGTTGCAGAGCACGGGCTCTAGGCACGCGGGCTTCAGTAGTTGTGGCTCGTGGGCTCTAGAGCTCAGGCTCAGTAGTTGTGGCGCACGGGCCTAGTTGCCCCGCGGCACGTGGGATCTTCCCAGACCAGGGCTCAAACCCGTGTCCCCTGCATTGGCGGGGAAGCCCGGAAATTAGTACCTTTTGACCACCTTCACCTATTATGCCCACCCCTACCCACGGCCTTCGGCAACCTCCAGTTTGCCCTCTGTATCTGTGAATTCAGTTTTTGTTTTTAGATCCACATGTAAGTGAGATAATATGGTATTTATCTTTCTCAGACTGACTTACTTCACTTAGCATGATGCCCTCAAGTTCCCTCCGTGGTATTGCAAATGGCAAGATTTCATTCTTTTTTATGGCTGAATAATATTCCTGTGTGTGTGTGTATGTGAGTGTGTATGCGTGTGTGTGTGTGTATCATATCTTATTGATGATCCATTTATCAGTTGATGGACACTGGTAGTTTTTCCATGTCTTAGCTTTTGTAAATAATGCCGTTGTGTACATGAGGGCGAATATATCTTTTCAAGTTAGTGTTTTTGTTTTCTTCGGATAAATATCCAGAAAAGAAATTGCTGGACCATTTAGTAGTTCTATTTTTAATCTTTTGAGCAACCTCCATACTGTTTTCCATAGTGGCTACACCAATTTACATTCCAGACAACAACGTATGAGGGTACCCTTTTCTCCATATCCCTGCCAACACTTGGTATTTCTTGTCTTTTTAATAATACCTGTTCTAACAGGTGCGAGGTGATATCTCATGTGGTTTTGATTTGCAGTTCCCTGATGGTTAGTGGGGTTGAGCATCTTTCCATAAACAGGTCTTAAAATACCTTCCTGTGTAGTGTATGAGTGCCTCCTGCCCCAAACCCACACCAACCCCTGGATATGATCAATCTTTTCAATACTTAATAAATTAATGAATACCCTATCATTGCTTTTATTTTCATTTCTTTTATTATCATTGAACATATTTTAAAATATTTATTGACAGTTTATTACTCTTCCTCTGTGATTTATCCATCTCTATATATCCTGTGTTCAATTTTCTATTGAGCTGAGTTATCTTTTTCTTATTGTCTTTCAAAACACCTCTGTGATATGTGCTTCAGATATATTCAAATATATTTAAAGATATAGTCTTCAAAATATACATAAAATCTGTATGTATCCCCAGGATACGTATCTGTCCTGCTTGGGGATGAATGATTCTCATGACCAGCAGCACTTGCTCTGTCACATTTGGAACGAAGCTCATCTCTCTCACCATTTGTTGTGAATTTGTGGGACGGCAGCCTTCCAGACCCGAGGGCGGGGGCCGAGATGCCCTTGCTGCGGGGCTTTTCCTTAGCAGCCAGGCCCGGGTGGTGTGATTTGTGCCAGTCTCGCCTTTTCCTTCCCTTGGCAAACATCTTATCGCTGTATCATCCTAATGAGATTGCCCTGGGTCCACCATATTAGATAAATGATGAGCGGTAGGGAAAAGAAAATTCATAGGATAGCAACATTGAAAATAACGTTTATTTTTGGCTTTTCCCAAGAATGAATCTCATGGTTTATAAACTACAAGGGAGTGTGCCATTGAGGAGGAAAATTTATCATCGGATCTGAATTCTGGGGAAATTCTAGGGATCCTATGGGGATGATGTAGGGTGATCATTTTATGTTTAATTTGGGGTTGCATAAAGTATGTTCACTTTGGCCTAAAACTATCCATTGTTCCTAAACAGTTTCATTCACTGGCTCCCATGTACTATCGTGGATCCGCAGCAGCTGTCATAGTGTATGATATTACCAAACAGGTAAGAAGGTCCCCTTTAGAATTTAGGTGCCCTTTATGGCGATCCCCCTAGAAAGACCAAGGCAGAGACATCAGTGAGTCTCACCAGCTGCCTGGGGTGAGATTCCACAGTATGCTGGTTGGGGTGAGTGAACACCAAATTTTGAGTTTCTCTCATCTATATGTAGCTAAGCCTTTCAAATCTACCTGCTAAATTAAATAAACAATGATCATTCGCTTTTAAAATTGACTGTTTGTAAGGGCAAGGTTATGCCTGCTAATACTGGTCTCCAGAATGTCCGATTTTTAGGAAAAGGAAAATTACTTTTAAATTTTGCATGTTTGATGGTTATAGATACTTATTTCCTATTAATGTTTCAATCATACAACTTGAAACGCCAAGGATGATGTTTATATATGTATAGTGTGTCTGCGTGCATGTGGGATGAATGTATTTTTAGTTATCATTTTGAGGACCCAAGATACCCATCAATGAATAACGGCAGTGGTCTGCTGGCATTTCCCCCACTCCTGGAACTCAGCGTTGAGGACCTGCTTAACTGAACTTAGTTAACTGCTTTAACTAATTCGATGCTGTGACCATCCGTGAGTTCCTGACCACTGCTTCCTAAATGGAGTGGCTACCTTGGCTGTTTCCTGGAGGTCATTGTGAGGGAAGAGCAGTTAGGAAAATAGGACTCTAAAGCGTGCGTTTATGCGCGTGTGTGTGTATGTATGTATATATTTTTTCTTTTCTGATTAAGCATGAACATTGGTTCAGTCCTATAGCTTTGTCTCACTCAAGTTGAGGTAAGGCTAACATTAATGTTATTTATAAAAGAAAATTACTAATATGATTATCTTAACTTCAAATTTCCATTTTAGAAGGGGAACTTTTTACAGGCTCTGTAAGTATAACTTAGCTAATATTAAATTTTGTGCCAAGGTTGGGGGAGTATGTTAACCTTTGTGTGCCCCCTGAAGATATTTTTCTTCATTAAATTATATTGGGTTTGTATTTCTACATGGTTCAGATATTACACTGATGGGTCTTTCCCAAGATTGATTTACACTTTTGGTTTAGGATTCATTTCATACCTTGAAGAAATGGGTGAAAGAACTGAAAGAACATGGTCCAGAAAACATTGTGATGGCTATCGCTGGAAACAAGTGCGACCTCTCAGATATTAGGTAAGATGCATTTTAAAAATGTCTATGCAGTTCAAGTCCTCCATCCTGAATGTCTGTGTGTAAAAGGCTGTCACAACTGTGTGGTTAAGTCTGTTCTCAGTGTCATAATTTAATTTATGTCATTCACTTGTGGTGATCAAGGTGGTATTTATTCAACCAGAGTAGAATTGAGGGAAAAATAATAGGGAGATGCACATTTGAGGGAGCACCCACTCATGAATATTTAAATCAAATCTCCTGTACAGAGTACAGTTACACCCCTGACTCTAGATGTCTTTGGGCTAAATGGTTTTAATATTTTTCAAAATTAATTCATTCATTTATTTACTTGGCCATGCCTCATGGCTTGCAAGATCTTAGTTCCCCAACCAGGGATCGAACCCGTGCCGCCTGCAGTAGAAGCTCGGAGTCCTAACCTCTGGACTGCCAGGGAATTCCCTTATTATTGTTTATTGTTACCTTTTCTGTTGTTTTTGTCATTATTTCTACTATTACCATTTTAGTAACATTTTCATATGATGAGGAGGGTTAGAATTCTTCACATTTTCCACAGCGTCCCTGTTTGTTTTAGTTCTAGACTTTAACTTAAGGATGTAGCCAGGTCTATATGATCTCACTGTTTTGTTCTAAGATCTGAATTTGATGCATTGTATGTGAACATTTTGGCTTCCCCCAGAGACACTGGGTGTTGAACTTCCTCTGCCAGGAGAGAGGTTTGTAGGGACCCAGTCTGCCTAGACTAAAGCTGTGATGATAGCTCTATCTAGCGTGATAAGCTAACTATTTTTACTAAATAAAACTGAAATAAAAAAGAAAACAGTGAATTTGTGTTGCCTCCATCCCCTGGTTAGTTTAATTCTCAGCAATTCGAGTACTTGATTTTCGTAAAGACAACGACACATGCTTCAGGTTTTGCTAATCCAAACATGATTAAAACAAAGTGTAATGAACAACAGGAAAGATCTTGCAAAAGCCCTTAAGACGGGCTTTGCCAAATTGCTCTGTTTGGGATTTCAGAAGCTTTATATCACATTGCACCAGGTTGGTTTATAATAACAGCCATAACCACCACTTACTTGTTTGTTTTTCTGGGGGCTGGACAGGTCTTTAAACTCCCCAGCCTTAGTTCAGATCTCTGCCTTCTGCCCTGTAATCCTGGAACAGCCTGCTTGTCCAGAATTCCCAGACGAATGGTTTAACTTTTGTCATGGGAAGGAGGTGGGCTGGGTGGTTGGAGGCAGCCTCTGCTGAGAGAAAGCCTTTGCTCTCACCTGACACCATCGAATTGTGATAAAGGTGCGACTTCCAGTGAACTAAGCCTTGTGTGTCGTGGGAGAACGAATGGATGAAAATTTAAGCAGAAAACGATTTAAACGTGAGTGGAATTAGTTAGGACTCTTGACTATTGGGGATTGAAACTCGATTGAAATTAATTTCAGGAAAAAGGGGAATTTATTGGAAGGTGCTGGGATCCACATGGTAAAAAAACAGGGGTGCCTTTAGCTCTGGTATTTGATATGTTCCAGCTTTAGTTTCTAGAAAGATCCTGGCCTGGCGCTCTCTTTGTTTCTACATTGCCATAAAAGGATTGCCGCACGTCATGAGAAAGCATTTGTGGCCAAGGGAGGGGATGTGGGTGGGACAGATGATTTCTCCCACCATAGTCACAAGAATGGGAGGGTGGGTGGTTTTGAAGAGGGGCGGTTCCTGGGAAAGTCCAGCCTGCTGTCTGTGACGTGTTGGTTTGGCCGCTGGCACCGAAGCCACACCGTGTCTCAGGGTGGAATTCACTGTTTTGCATTCTCCTCGGCAGACATTCTGCTTTGTCTGCTTATCTGTACTCCATCCCCAAAGGGAGATGATCCAGTGCTACTTCCAGCTTCCAGTGTGACATCATGGGGTCACTGTCCCATGAGCCCACGCCCCCTGGTTTGGCCTCAGTGGGTCCGGTGTAGCTTCTCCAGCTCCCGTAGTTGTGGTTTAAAGGGTGGAATGTGGATCTCTTGTTAGACACAAAACTCTCTTAGATTTTTCTCTTAAATTCTCCTTGTTATTGAATCAAGGACATAACTCCCTTTGCGATTCTCCTTCAAACCTCTGATTAACTCAACAAGAAAACCCAGTTTGATGCTAGTAAATTTAAAATTTTTAAGCAGTTAATATATTTTATTGAGATAACTGACAAACCATAAGACCCATCTGTTTTAAGTATGCAGTTCAATGAATTTTGTGTATGTATAGAGTTGTCTAGTCAGCCTCACATCTCATTTCAGAACATCTCCACTCTGCAAACAAGCATCATGCTCATTACAGCCACTTCCAATTTCCACCTCCTTCCCACCTCTAGCAACCACTAATCTACCTTTCTGTCTTTATTAATTTGCCTTTTGTGGACATTTTGTATAAATGAAATCATACAAATGTGGTCTTCTGTGCCTAGCTTCTTTCACTCAGCATACTTCCAAGGTCCTTCCATGTTGAAGTTTGTATCAGTTACTTCATTCATTTTCATGGCTGACTGTTATTCCATTGTGTGGATATACCACATTTTATTTTTTCATTCACCAGCTGAAATTCAAGTTGTTTCCACCTTTTGGCTATTATGAAAAGTCCTGCTGTGAATAATCATGTACAAATTTTTTTTTTTTTTGGTACGCGGGCCTCTCGCTGTTGTGGCCTCTCCCGTTGCGGAGCACAGGCTCCGGACGCGCAGGCTCAGCGGCCATGGCTCATGGGCCCAGCGGCCATGGCTCATGGGCCCAGCCACTCTGTGGCATGTGGGATCTTCCTGGACCGGGACACGAACCCGTGTCCCCTGCATCGGCAGGCGGACTCTCAACCACTGCGCCACCAGGGAAGCCCCATGTACAAATTTTATATTGACATATGTTTTCATTTCTCCTGTGTGTATACGTAGGAGTAAAATTTGGGGGTCATTTGGTAACTCGGTATTTAATGATTTGAGGAACTGCCAAACTTTAAAAAAGAGGGAAAAAAAAAGAACTTCAACCCTAGCCTCACACCTTATATAAAAATTACTCTAAAATGAATCATAGACTTTAATGTAAAATGTAAAACTCTTAGAAACTTTTAGAAAATATCTAAGAGAAGATCTTGAGAATCTGGGGTTAGGCAAAGAGTTCTTAGACTTGATAGCAAAATCCCAGTGTATCTAACGAAAAATTGATCAATTGGACCTCTTCAAAATTAAAAACATTTGCTCTGTGAAAGCCCATGTGAAGAGGATGAAAGACAACGTACAGACTGGGAGCAAATATTTGCAAACCAAACATCTGACAAAGGAGTAGCATGTAGGCTACATAAAGAATTCTGAAGACTTAATAAAGTCTAATAAGTTTAATAAAGTCTCATTTTAAAATGGGCAAAAGAGATGAGCAGACATTTCACCCAAGAGAATATCAAGATGTTGAGCAAAACCCTGAAAAGATGTTGAATGTCATAATCAGACCATCAGAATGGCTAAAATAAGAAAGAGGAATAACAACTAGTGCGGGTGAGGGTGGGGAAGAACTGGATCCTTCGTACATTGCTGATGTGCGTATAAAACTCTGGAAGACTCTTTGGCGATTTCTTTAAAAACTAAATATAAAATTACCATATGCCCCAGCAATCACACTCTTGGGCATTTATCCCAGAGAAATAAAAATTTACGTTCACAGAAAACCTGCACACTGGGTCTTAGTTGAGGCATGTGTGCTCATTAGTTGAGGCCAGCGGGCTCCTTAGTTGCGGCATGCGAACTCTTAGTTGTGGCATGCATGTGGGATCTAGCTCCCTGACTAGGGATCAAACCCATGTCCCCTGCATTGGAAGGCAGATTCATAACCACTGCGCCACCAGGGAAGTCCCCACGGAAACCTTGTTTGTGATGGAATCAGCCCAGATGTCCTTCAGTGGGCACACCAGGGTGCGTCACACTGTGGAATACTACTCAGCAGTGAAAAGGAACAAACCGGGTACAAGCAACCTGGACGAACCTCCAGGGAAATATGCTAAGTGAATAAAGCCAGTACCGAGGGTTTCATGTTGTATGATTCCACTTATGTAACTTTGGGGAATGAAACCATTTTAGAATTAGAGGGAGATTAGTGGTTATGGTCGGGGTGAGTTGGGCGGAGGGGCGGGGGAAGGACAGCATGGACATAAACGGGCAGCACGAGGCATCCTTGTGATGCTGGAAACGTCCACCTCTCTGTGGGGAGGACACGAACCTACACGAGTGATAATACACACACACAAGCACCAGTAAAACCAGGGGAATCTGAACAGCATGGAGTGTATTGGTGTCAGTGTCCTGGGTCTGATGTTACAGTTTTGCAGAACGGTGCCATTTGGGAAACAGGGCAAAGCGTACAAGGAGTCTCTCAGTATTATTTCTTGTAACGGCGTGTGAATCCACAGCTACCCCAGTACAAATTTCAGTTAACAAAGTTGGATTTAGATAAAAATAATAAGTAAATATTAGGCAGTGGTGTGTGTGTGCGGACATGTATATGTGCACATATACGTGCATATTATGTATATTATATATGATTAACTAAAGTTTTGTAAACACACTGAGCCAAAGGATGAATTTAACCACTCCCCCGCCACACCCACTGTACAGAAGAAAAACGGGAACTGTATTAAAAACTCCCATTTAGGAAAGCGGAGAAGGGGAAGCCTGGTGGATTGGTCCTTGCCCAGAGGATAAACTTTCTCCCGCTAGACAGAAATAGTCTGGTAAATGATAGGCCTGCGAGCCTAATGACACCTGCTGTTGACTCCTTTCCATGGCAGTGGAATTGCGTTCTTGGCCAACCAATCCAGCTGCTCCAGATTCCGCCTGCCGGTACGATTTTTCTGGGGAGTTAGCCAAGTCCCTCCACCCCAGACCTTATTTAGAGCTTGACCTTCTTTTACTCTAATCTAAAAGACTTCGCTCTTCTGTAATCGCCACAAGACGATAGTTTCTTTTTCACTGGGGATTGGAGAAGGATAGTATGCAGATTTGGTGTGTGTGCACGCGTGTGTGTGCGTGTGTGTGTGTGTGTAGCAGGAGCCGGGCTCACCTAACAGACTTTGGTTGTGTAAGCTTGTAAATCCTTGAGCAGAGCTAGGCCTGGCGTAGTTTGAAAGTGCCTGGACTTGAAATGGGATTAACTCCCTGAACTTGACTCAGCCACTGGAGGCTTGTGTGCAGAAGTGCTTCGCAGGGGAGATGCCGATCATGGGGTCAGTGGGTTTCACATCCACCAATATTCCAGAAGAGGGTAGAAGGGTCTGACCACACCCCCGCATGAAAGGCCCTCACGGGCATCTGATCAGAGGAACTCAGGACTTCCAGTTTGGATTTTTTTTTAAGGCTCCTGATCTTTCTGAGAGATTTTCCTGAATATCTTGAAGAATTCTAGACAGAATCTGTTCGGGCTCAGATTATTGTGGAGTTGGGGTGATGTGTGGTCTCTCTGAACCCAGGCGAGGAAGCAAACCGGAGTTGGTGATACTGTGCGTGAGAAGACTGTCCCCAGCTTGTGCACAGCAGGTGCTCCGGGGACATCCCTTCCTTGCTTTCCTGCCCCCTCCCTCCCCAGTGAGGACGGGCCTTGGGGAGAAGTGTGTGTGACTCCTGATGGGGCCTAGGGGATGGGGCACCTCCCTTCTCCTTACCATCTACTGATGCTGGAAGGGGGCGTTGCAAATTGGGGACATTTTAGGAACATACATAGTTCAAAGAAAATCAGAGAGCCTGCACTGAACTGACTGTGCAGGGCCTGAGGTGGCCGGCTGGAGGAGCGCAGCCAGCTTGGAGCCGGGACAGTGACCATTTGCTGACATGTGCTGAGCAGGGCGGGTCCCAGGCTTCTGAACTAGTAACACGAGGCCTCGGGCTAATTCCAGGTGCCTCTGATGAGGGCACATTTGGCCTGGGGCCTAGAGGGAAAAGAAACCTTCTTCTCAGAAAGTCTGGAGAGCCTGCCAGAGACTGCACAGCCTTGTCCTGGGCCTGGTGGGAAATTTTGGGCAAACAAGTCTTGAAAAGAAAAAAAAGAAATAGATCACCTTGCTTTAGGAGTTTTAAAAGTTCCATGAACATAAGAATTGCTTAGCACACTTGTTAAAATTCAGATTCCAGGATTCAGTTCCATAGATTCTGATTCAATAGGGCAGGAGCAGGCTGGGGACAAATACATTTTGTAAAGCAGTTCTTTTACAAGTGGTCCAAGGGCCATACTCGCAAAAGCATTGCCTTAGGTGATAGGAGTTGATGCGAGGGAAGAGGGACGGGGTCCTGGAACCTGGCTGGGCTTCTGACTGCAGGCCACACCTGCCTGGGCCTCCCTGCTGCCCTTCGGAGCTCATGGAGGCTGGAAACAGTGGTCCAGCATCATTCAGGATACGGAAGAAGCACCACTGACCCACCGTCTTGTCCCCTTCAGAAGCAGCTCCAGTTCTCTGCCCCCTTTTCTGCATCTCACAATGATAGTCATTGGGAGAAAAGGTGCGATTGTGGGTTGGTTTGCCTCCGTCTGATTAATATCAGATGCCGCTGGACCAGCATCTTGCACCCAGCCCCCTCCTGGATGCTGGGACTCCCCCAGATCCAGCCTGTACTTGGTTGCCTTGGCTTGGGCCAGGAGGTAGGATCACCTTGCTTGGGTGCTTTCATGTGATGCACTGCAGGTATTTCAGGAACCATCTGCTTTAATCAATGATGGGGGGAAGGATCCTCCAGGTGTTGCGGTTAGAGGAAGAAGAGGATTCCCTATCCCACCCCTGACACTTCAGCCAGAATCCCCCCTTCACTTTTCCCCGTCAGCCTTTCAAGCAGCCTTGATCTGTAGCCATCATAATAAGTAATTTATTGGAGAAATTACGCCCACCCCACCCCTACCTCATAGGAGGCTCCAGTTCTGTTTCCTTGGTTTTCTTTTCCCGATTTTGGACTCTTGACTCTGTACACAAACCCCCCGTGACCTCTCCAGATTAGGAACTCTTCCTGCCTTTCTTGATCACTTAGACATTGGCCTTCCTCCAATGGGTTCCAGCTTAGGGGTCTCCTGACATCCTTAGGGCTGTGAACGAATCAGAAAGGGTGAAGGAGTGATGGTGTAGAAGTGCTGATAGGAGAGAGCATTTGAGGCCTGATTTATTTTAGCTTGCCTGTGGTAGCAGATGGAAGTTACCCACCGAAAGTAGTGGTGGAGTCTGGGGCTTGGAGAGGTGGTGGGTGATGACCTGGGGATGCCCAAGGTTCCTCCCTTCACCCCCTAAATACAACCCAGGAGATGATCAGGGATGGAATCCTGAGGAATGGAATCAGGGTCTCTGAGATCTTACAGCAACACTTCTGGTGTCTCCAAGAGAATCACTGTGAGAGATTGGTTGGGCTGCTGCCGATGAGTCAAGACTTTTCTCCTGGAGCAGAGGTCGTCTTCCAAGAACAGAGCAGCTGGGGCAGAAGTGAAACTAGGCTAGGGGACGAGGAAGGCGATTTATTCTACCAGTTTTCAGTTATTCGATTAGCAAATAACTTTTGGTAGTTCTGTGTGGAGCAAAGTACTATGGGAAGTACAAGAAAAGAGAAGAAAATATTTTCTTAGAGCTATTTATTTCTATTTGGGGAGCCAAGAGGGATATACAGGGAGAGGAAAATATCTAATGAGTAATACAAGACTATGTTTAATAAAGTTCCAAAGTTAAGGTGCAGGAAGGACAAAGGGATTCAGGAAAGGGAAAGTCTGTCATTGCAGACGGTGATTTGGAAAGGCTCATGGATAAAATGTGTCACAGGCTGGGCTGTTCAAGATGAGTCGGGTAGGAGGAAATTCCAGGAAGGGAAGATCATGGACAAAGGCATGGGCGTGGGAGGGCCTTTGACAGGTGTCATGGCAGGGTGGGGGGGGGATATCAAGAGTATCTACCTGATCGTCTGCCCTCAGGAATGGGGAGAAGATGGGTGGTGGTGAGTGGCTTAAAAGTATGCCGAGTGTCTGGGCTCAGTGGGCAGGGCCAGGATGGCAAACCCCCGAGGTCCTGCCTCCAACTTCTGTCTCTCATCCCCAGGCTCCATTGCCCATCAGTCATGGCTCTGTCTTCTCCTGAGCCTCTGTGGTCTCAGGCTTCTTCTTAACACAGAGCTGCATGTAGTCACCACCAGCTAAAGCAATGGAACCTATCTGCCAACACCACGGTAGGTGTGGGAGCCTCTCTGGATTCTTCAGCAAGTAAGGCTTCTTGCAATTTCCTGTGTCATCTAGAGCGGGAAACCAGGGTGAGAGCTGGATATTGCAGGCTCAGTGCCCCCTGTGCAGCTTCCTGAAACACATGCCAACCCAGTCAGAAATCATCAGGTACCAGTGGTTTCAAATTTTGGGGAGAAAGTTGAGGTCTTCAGTAGATGAAAAATATATTTGGAAATAAATATTGTTTTACCAAGAATACATGAATTGCTTTCACTTCTTACGTGTGACTCCAAAACTCATTCCATTCTTGACAGTGGGCCAAAAATGGGTATAAGAGTTTGTTTAAAATTATGCAAACCAATAACAGAACTTGAGATGTTAGATGATAAAAATCCAATTTATTCCAAATACTAAAAAGCAAAAAAGCCAACGAACATCAAAAGCCACTACTGTGCAAAGTGTGGAAATATCATGGCAAGTATTAAAACACACCCAGGGACTTCCCTGGCAGTCCAGGGGTTAGGACTCAGAGCTTTCACTGCGGTGGCCCTGGGTTCAATTCCTGGTCGGGGAACTAAGATCCCACAAGCCACGCGACACAGCATAAACAAACAAACAAACAAGTAAATGAATGAATGAATGAATAATACCTCCAGCATTTTCCTTACATGAGATGAGGAAGCAGAGTAGTCTGCGCTGTTAAAATGTGAGTTTTGTGCCCTGAGATGCACCTTCCCGTGTTTCTACCTTCTTCTGATGCTGTGCAGCGGCTGAGCCTGCATCTACTGCTATTATCCAAGTGGGAGGGAAGGAACTGAAGACTGACCTCCCCAGAGAGGGATCTGGAATTGCTGTTTCAGTTATCAAGTATTCTTAATGAAGAATCTATAAAACACTTACGTATATCTTAAAGAATAATATGAATTTGAACGGCTCTGTACCTACTCAATCACATCCCCTTCTCCCCATCCAGAAGTAACTGCTGCTCTGACTTTTGTGATAACCATCACTTTTTTTCTTTGTACTTTGCCACCCATGTTTGCATATCTAAACAATAGCTTTAGGTTTGCCTGTTTTTGAACTTTATGTAAATGGAATAACCCTGAGTGTATTATATGATGGTTTGTCTCTTACCTCAACATGCCTGGGAGATTTCATCACAACGAACGTTAGCTGTACCTTGTCCGTTTCCACAGCTGTACACTTTTTTTTTTAAAGGCAGTCTTAATACACTTTATTTACTTTTTAATTTTTATTTACAAATTTATTTATTTATTTTTGGCTGCGTTGGGTTTTCATTGCTGCGCGCGGGCTTTCTCTAGTTGCAGTGAGCGGGGGCTACTCTTCGTTGCAGTGCGCGGGTTTCTCATTGTGGTAGCTTCTCTTGTTGCGGAGCACGGGCTCTTAGGCACGCGGGCTCAGTAATTGTGCCTCTCAGGCTGTAGAGCATAGGTTCAGTAGTTGTGGCACACAGGCTTTGTTGGTCCGCGGCATGTGGGATCTTCCCGGACCAGGGCTCAAACCTGTGTCCCCTGCACTGACAGGTGGATTCCTAACCACTGCACCACCAGGGAAGTCCCGTGCACAGTTCTATTTGATAAGTGCAGCACAACTTATCTATCCATCCTACAGGTGATGGGTATTTGCGTTATTTCTGCCTTGTTATTATGAACATTGCTTCTTGAACATTTCTTGCATATCTCATAGTACCACGTGTTAGCATTCCTTTAGGTTCAGGTGCGTAAGAGTCTAATTGCTGAGTCACAGGGTGGGCGCAAGCTCAGTTTTACTAGGTGATGCCAATGTTTTCCAAAGAGGACACCGGTAGTGCAGGAGACTTCCTGTTACTCAACGCCCTTAGTGCTGTAAGATGCCAGGGCGTGGAGAGAGATCTGATAAGAATTTCAGTTTTCGTTTCCCCAGTTACCAGGGAAGTTGGCATGTTTTTATTTATTGGCCATTCAAGTTTCGTCCTGTGTGGAGAGCCTGTTCAAGACCTTGCCACCTTTTCTCTTGGGATATTTACCTTCATCTTGTTTATTCATCTGTCTGTCTGTCTATCTATCTAATTTGATGGTATGTGTTGAAATATCTTCTCAAATTTATGTCTTGTATTTTCACTCTTTATATATATTTTTTTAATTTTTATTTATTTATTCATTTTTGGCTGCGTTGGGTCTTCGTTGCTGTGCGCAGGTTTTCTCTTTTGCGGCGAGCAGGGGCTACTCTTCGTTGTAGTGTGCAGGCTTATCATTGCTGTGGCCTCTCTTGTTGTGGAGCACGGGCTCTAGGCGCGCAGGCTTCAGTAGTTGTGGCACGCGGGCTCAGTAGTTGTGGCTCGTGGGCTCTAGAGCACAGGCTCGGTAGCCGTGGCGCACGAGCTTAGTTGCTCTGCGGTATGTGGGATCTTCCTGGACCAGGGCTGGAACCCGTGTCCCCTGCATTGGCAGGCGGATTCTTAACCACTGCGCCACCAGGAAAGTCCTCTCTTTATATTTTTACAGCATCAGAAGCCTGTAATTCCTACCTAAGAGAATTTATCAAGTTTTTCCTTTATGTTTTTTTGGGGGGAATGGTCGAGGGAGGGCAAATCATTTAAGAAATCTTTCTGCACCCCCGAGATCATGAAGATATTCCACTGTGTTGATTATCTTTTAAAAACTTTGCAGTTTTGTTTTCCTGTCTGTCCTTAAGTCACTTGGCACTGATCTTATGTGTGCTGCCTAGTTTCTCCTATGTGGATATCCAGTCGTCTCAGCACTCTTGGTTGTAAAGTCCATTCTCTCCCCGCTGAAGTTCCACCTCAGTCGTGTATCACGTGTCCTGGGTGCACAGGTCTGTTTCTAGGGCCCTCTGTTCTGTTTCACAAGCCGACTTACCTATCCTCATACCTATACTACACCGACTTAATCATCACAGCTTTCTCATGAGTCTTGATAAATGGTCTTGGACTTCTGATATGATCTGGAATCTCTGTAAGCGATATTTGTTGGCCCCAGGGAAGGTTTCCTGAGAGTGTAGGGTGTGGGTGTGGATGTGTGAGTTGTGGTCTGGTGGAGATTAGGAGAGTGTTGGGGCGCAAATCTACATGTGTGTGTTGGGGAGTGTTTATTTTTATGGCCGATTTAAAAAATATTTAAATAAACTTTAGTTTAGGATAGTTTTATATTTACAGAAAAGTTGCAAAGATAGTATGGAGTTCCCACATACCCCATATCCAGTTTCCCCTGTTGTTAACATCTTACATTAATTACTGTGGTACATTTGTCACAGCTAAGAAACCTACATTATACTTTATTATACTTTGTATAATACTTTATTATTAACTGAAGCCCATACTTTACTCAGATTTCATTACTTTTCCCCTAATATCCCTTTTTCATTATAGGATCCCACCCAGAATATCATATTACATCTAGTTGCCATGTCTCTTTAGGATCCTTTGGGCTGGGACAATTTCTCAGACTTCCTTTGTTTTTGATGACCTTGACAGTTTTTAGTACTAGTCAGATATTTTGGAGACTGTCTCTCAATTGGGGTTTGCCTGATGTGTTTCTCATGATTAGACTGAGGGTTTGTGTTTTGGGGAGGAAGGCCACAGGGGTGAAGTGCTCTTTTCATTACTTTATTATTAATTAAGCATATCAGGGGTTCATGTTATCAACATGATTTGTCATCCCTGATGATACTGACCTTGATCACCTGGCTGAGGTGGTGACTGTAAAGTTACCCTCCCCCGCTTTGCTTACCATGCTGTTTGGAAGGCAGCCCCTGTTCCCAGGCCTCACTCAAGGGGTAAGGATTGTCCTCCACTGCCTCGAGGGAGGAGTCCCTACATAAATTATTTGTAATTCTTCTGCTGATGAAATTTGTCTCACCCCCATTTTATTTATTCAGTCATTTACTTATATCAGTGTGGACTTACGGATATTTATTTTATACTTTAAGTTATAATGCAGTATTGTATCATTTAATTTGTTACCCAAATTGCTCCCACTTTGGCTGCTGGGAGCTCTTTCTTTCGGCACCTGTGTCCCTTTAACATGTACGCATCATTTTGGGTTTTGAGTACTTCCTTACTTTCTGACACAATAAGATGTTCCAGGCCCATCTTGGACGGTTTAGGCTACAACCCTAGACTCAGCCATTTCTCCAGGCAGCCCTCATTCCTTTTACTGGAGAAGGGTATTTAGAAACCAAGATCTGGGCTGGGTGTGCTCGTTGCTACTGGGGTGTCATTGAGTCTAGGCCCTCTGGGTGAACAGAGCTGGGAAGTATATGTCTGTATG